GACGTGTATAACTGTAGCCTTAGCCATAATATGTTCTTATGTTTAAGCCACGACATGTACTAGAGGTCGTGAGAATTCTTTTAGCTACACACCACTTAACCAACAGACACACACATTCACACGTTGATTTGCTTCATGTTTTGACTACTGCTATGGCCAGCTGCAGAGCTGGCAACAGAGACGTCTCGGTTGACGTTTCTGTGTAGTATGGGGCTAGCCCAACCGAGGTGATATAATGTATAGGCCTGGTGGGCTCAGGGTCTTTCATCTTACATCTGCCTGCGTGCAGGATGGAGGTGCAAGATACCTGAGCGTGTAATGTTAATTTTGCCTGTGATCCTTTGAATAAATCAGCACTGTTCTGAAGTTACTTGGACTGTCTCATCTCTCAGAGTTAGCAATGGCAATAAGAACCGTATCCTGCAAAGGGAAAGAAGAGAAAGTAATCATGGCAGGTTGTGATGGCCTGTCGCACACCGCTGCATGTTAGCGATAGTGGTGGGGTCCAGCACAGCCAAGTGGAACTGTAGCAAGGGAGGCAGAAACACAAACAAACCCCCTGGCACTGCACAGGCTCACAGGGAGTGAGAGGAGACTGACAGGAGGAGCTGGAAGTACTGGCTGAGAATGCATCATTTTTGTGCAGCTGTACATAGTGTCCCATGACAACATCACCTCACTGTGCATCAAGACATTTCAGTTCTTAACATACTGTATGTAGATCAAATATATTGACTCATGTTGCTGACTGATGTCTGTGTGGTTTTTCATTCTGCTCCACCACACTGTGGAGACCTCTTGTCGGCTTGTGAAGGATACAGGCAGAGATATAACCTTGTGTTATTGCCTCAGATAAATAGAAAATATTACAACACACTGGAGTGTGTTGTACTGCATGTGCTTGCATTTATTATCCCTTCCAAACCTTCATCACCTTGATGTCATGTCATTCTATATAAATGCATTTGCATACTAACACACATAGAAACAATCTCCCTTTGAGTGTGACGGTGTCTGTACTGGGCATCGACTTCATTATGTCTGCATTGTTCATAAATAGTGTATTATCATTGCAAGATTAAACTGTGGTCAATTACTGCAGTTTGAAAATCTTTCCCTCGGAAGGGTTGCTGTCCAGGATCTAGCAAAGTTAGCTAGAGGTTCTCGGATGCAAGCGCAGTATGCAGCATGGGTTTGTTTGGGTCAGTGAAAACATGGCGGAATGCAGTGACAACACTTCAGAGATAAAAACGTGTTTCCTCGAGTCCTGTGTTTTCCTCGCATCTTATGTGGGCAGGACTAAAATGCAAGGAAAAGGCACAAGTGAGGGAAGCATCAGTGCTTATAAGAGACTTGAGAAACACCCATGGTGTTCTGACACACCACTGAATTAACATTATTGCAGCAAAGTGCCCATGGTGTTCTGACACACCACTGAATGAACATTATTGCAGCAAAGTGAGTGAGTTAAGTTACTTCAGAATAGTTTGTATGGCTTTGACTTTATGGCAGTGCTCAAACTGTGAAAACAGTGTTCAAACAGATATTCAGTTTTTTTTTTCCATTATTTTCAGAGAACCCGTTAGTAAGTCTTATCTAATTACGACAGCCACATGAATTCTGCTAAACAATAGAAAATTAATTCTCTGAAACTCAAGGTGCCACCATTTCCATGCAGAATGATCTCATGTTACTGCCCTGTGCCTTCCTCAGGTGTACCAGCATTCCTACACTGCTTTCTACATCATCTGCAGTCTGGAGACTCCGTAAGTAGACTAGACAAGGCTGCTCTGCTTTATTTACATTGTACCTCATTGTTTCATCCCATCATATCTCAACTGACCTCAGTGCTCATGAACTGATGTGGTTGGAGAAGTTGTGTCAAGTGTAACTTCAAATGGCAGCCAGAGTTGCCACAACATCTACAGCATTCTATGCATGTTAGATACAGAGCTAGACAATTACCGAGTAGATCCAACAGACACACGTTATGTTACACCATACTGCATATTGCTGGTACTGATCCTGTTTTCACAACGTCAGTCTGTCGCTGTGCTGAAAAAGTTAAAAAGCCTGGAGAAGGCAACAGCCATTAGTGAAGCTTTACAGGTTTCCACTATTAGCTGCAGTTTAGCTTCACACTCTTGTCTTTGCACAGCAGCTTTCTTAACAAAGTGTTTTACAGAGAAAAGGCACAAGCAAACAAGCAAATCAAAATAATAAGATCATAAAGGAAAACCAAAAAAATAGCAAGTAAGAAAAGGTGAAACAGGAATGATTATAAAATGTTGAGGGGAAGGGATTTGAAAGACATCACATATGTAACCAGTCTAATCTCAGCTTAATTCCCACTTCTGACAAACCACACCAAGTTTAATTAGAAGAAAAGTATAACACACATTTAAAAACCCTAAACCCAGAATAAGGCTCCTGGTTAAGAAATCCATTAATAATTGGTATCATTAGCCAACCCAAATGTATTTGCATGCTGCCACCTAGTGGTAAGGTGCCAAAATACACCCGCACTGATGACCTCATTCTTCCTCAGCTCCAGACAAAGACATAGAGGCAGCAGCACCTCTAATTCTGCAGCCTGCACTGCGCAGCACTTTTCCCAATAAGGAGAGGTGACATCGTTATAGGGTGCTGATATTTATGGATGCACTTAAACCTTGTTCTGCTGCTGCTGCTGCTGCTGCTGCTGCTGTGCTGGAGGCAGGCAGTCAGTGTGTATATGTCTGCACTTTTATCTAATAGCATTGTTTCCCCTTTCTGTGCACCCCAGGGAGACATGGAACTTGAACCCCCCAGAGGTGCAGAATGCTCAGCTGCAGTACGCAGGCTGGGGACCCCAGGGTCAGCAACTGGTAAGAACTTCAATTCCCAAGAATCCACTGTCTTGTGTCATTCTATTAACAACTAATGTTTAAGGTTCAGATAAAAAAAAAGAAATGGAAAGCTGTCAGTTATGGGAACCAAAAGACAAAAGTATACACAGACAAAGTAAAAACATATCAAAGTTCAATGTCCTTCGCTGCCTGTTAATGCCAGATGGAATTCATTATTTTTAAGGGGCTTAAAATATTGGCCACTTGCCATGAGAAACTGGATTGAATGATGAGGGGGGTTTGTCCTTTGTGCTGTATAAACCGGCATTCAGGGCAGTGCAACAAGGTGAAAGCACCACATTGATATAACATTATAAATATAATACATGACACAGATAGTGTCATAATCGTACACCAGGCCAACATGGACCATGCTGCCAGCTTTGTTGTACTGGCTTCAAGAGTTCATCACTAACAGACGTTTCACATACACGGTCATTTGATCTATTCTTAATATATATAGAGGGAGCAGCTTTAAGATTACTTTGTTAGCAGTTAAGCATCTTTCAGCGGTTGTGTTTGATAAGACTGGGCCCTTCAAAGCACTGGAATGCCTGTCTCAACCTGCTACTCTCTAAAGCCTGAATAGCCTGACAGAGAACAAAACTAATGTTGCATTGAAGTGATCAATATGATGTGTCAAATCACATAAATACATGAAGAAAAACTGGCAAACTGCACCAGGTTCATGTTAAATATATTAATCTAATTTATATTTATCTGCAATACTACCTTGGATGCCAACAGGGGCACTTGAGGTTAAACCTGATTTCCGTTTTTTTTTGTCTTCCAGTGGCTTTTTATTGGCCCAGTTCATGTGATAGATGTCCCAGTATGATGACCACCTGAATCCAAATAACTGATACTCTAAACATGACGTGGCCACATTACATTTCTTGACTTCATGAGTTGAGTTCTCCACAGCTGACCAGCGCACAATGGATTATGGAATTCAGAAAGAAAACACATTTTGTCCTCCACATTCTGAATGAATGTGGGTGGCAATTCGGAGTATCTGGACCCTGAACTTGGACAAAGCTAATCGTTATCTGTGAGAGACAACATTTCATTCCCATCATTGGTATAGCTCAAGTTTAATTTAATCGAAACTGTGCACACAGACAGTTTTGTCCCGCAGGGTGTAAATCATTCTAAAGATTCACAGAGATTTCCCAGCAAACAATTTTTAAATTAAAAACTGTTGTTTGAATAACAAGAAGCAGCGGTCCTTTACAGCTCTTCTGAGATGAGTCACCCTCCACCTCCATCACTGCACAGTCAGACTTGTCAGAACATTAATAAGCTTCAGTCTGTTGGTTTGTGGAGCAGACAGGATGTGAGTGATTACATCCGGCAGCACAATGCTATTAATTACCTGTTATCTCATCAGTGGATTAATTAACACACTCACTAGATTGATACAGCCTCAGATTTTTCACCATTAGTCTTGAAGTGGTTTTACTTCCAATAGTAGAAATTGAGCAGCAGATAGTTTGCCTGGAGATTCAGATGTCCTGTGTCAAAGTGGTGCAGGCTGGAGTGAAACATGTCCATCAGCTACAACGAGCTAACACAGTCTTCAACTGAAGGTATGAGTCATTAGACATATAATATGCATAATTCAGCCCTCCTGTTATTCTGCTCCCAAATCTCTTAGATACTGTACTTCATTAAACCTCCTTTACTTTTCCATAGAGACTGACTAAAGATTTACACTTAACAGCTGTCCAGCCACATGTTAACCTGCTTCTTAGGCTAAAAAGTTAATGCAATGTAGATAAGCTGAATCCTATTTTTCAGAGGCATGTGTCTGTACAAAGATGTTTCTTACGTGTTTTGTTGTGAAAAGAAAATCTCCAAGTGAATGGAGATTTCCATCTATGTATATATATATGTATGTGTGTGTGTGTATATATATATATATATATATATATTCCACAAAATGTTCAAATCCAAACGAGAGCAGGCCTGGGACTTCTCTCTGTGCTCTGGCCTAGATTAGCCTCTATTCAAGGACTCCATCTGCACCAAAGTGGCACAAAATTACGTAGACCTGCAGCACACGTCTCCTCAGGAGGAACTAATTGTCACAGATTCTGTGTTACTGTTTATAAAGAGAGGCAGGAACTGATGGAGAAACCTTTAGCTGTTTTTCACCATGTGCTCTAAATGCTACTGGTGCAGTATAAAGCGTAAAGTAAAATATTACACCAGTTCCAGTAAACCTATAAAATAGTAGAAAGTTCATATGGCAGTGTTGGATTTCCTGCTGTACATCTTCACTTCATTTAGACTTCTCAGAAAAGATATTTTTTTTGAGAATCATTCATAAACACCATGATACCAGCTCTAGGCTACAAGATTCCATAATCGTTGAAATACTGAGTGAACCCTTTTCTGTAATAACCCGAGTTTGATTTCACTTTCGCATTAAGGTTGGAACATTTAAAAAATCTAGCCCCAAGAGCTGCCCCGCCCTGCTACACTGACCGTGGGCGCTGATGATCTATTATTCTCTGTAATGAAAGAGCTGACCTTCAGTTATCTTGAAAGCCCTGCGGGCCTGTGGAGGAGAGCATCAAAGTCAGAATCTGGCCCCACAGTTTGCCATCTTATCAGAAATTGAAAAGGCTTTTCTTTTTTTTTTCTTTTTTTACTCTTTGTGCTTTTGTCCAAACCTTTGGTTTCTCTCCAACCAAAAGGTGCTATTGTAAAAGTTATGTCTACGGTGTGACAGGTGAGAAAGTGCCAGGCCAGTGTGCGTTTCCACCCCTGGGATGATCTTAGCTGTGATAGCAATGACTTCCACCTCACTGAGGTCTCCCACCTGTGATGTAATGATAGTATTAATAGTAGACTTCTTCAGGGTTCTTCTTTTCATGCTGATAATAATAATGGTAATGTTAACAGCTTAAGAACTG